CTGCTGTTTCGGCGGGGGAAGAGGGGGGCCAAGACGTTGCTGGAGCGCTATCGAGACATTCGGCCCTGTCTTCCAGTTCCTCTGATGTGCGGCATTAGGGCGCGCAGTTTTGTAGTCTGCTGTATGATGTTGTCAACCCCTGGCCCAAAGGGTGAACCTGGCATGAGTGGCAGTTTAGACTGTGCCAGCCAGAGATGGCGGCGTGAAGTCACCACTGAAGCCAAAAGCGGCCGAAGGGGTGCCACCATGAAGATGCACCACCCTCAAAGGGGAGAATACGGTCATCAGAGGAGGAGGAGTTCTCCAAAAGCAATGCAGGCCAGATAACTGTTGGGTTCTCTAACCGCTCTCCGTGCGTGATCCAAAGTTGGAAAAGTTAAGCCAACAGTGTATTAAAATATGTCAATAGTACACACTGCGCAATACTGTATAATAGTCAAGATTACTACGTACCTACAGTATCAGCCTTGTGTCATACACTCTCTGAAGGAGAGGAGATGTGAATGGAGTGTGAACAGCCTGACCGTGGGGGGAGAGCACAGTAACTCACAAACGTTTATAGTGTATTCCTAGCTTTATATGTGTGGGTTGGTTGTAACTCACACCACATTTAAGCTTATTCTTGTTTATGTGTGGGGGTTCAAGTTGGCAGGATGTAAGGGAAGTGTGCTTAGCAATTTAGTACTTAGTCCTCCAATGGTCAACTCTCGTTAAGCTAGCTACTTTGCATAGCTTGTTCACCGTGGAACACACAAGAGTCTAGACAAGATGGCTGCGCCCTGTGAGAAATAAACGTTGTGCGCCTTGCGACACGTAGCTCACTCTCCAGGGAGAACTGCAAGCCCGCCAGAGGGAAATATACACAGACTCCCGATCTTGCCAGGGGTAGGTGCGGAGCCCGAGGGCTAAACCTAAACCGGGAGGTTTCCGGTGGACAAACCAAGACAAAGCCAACTAGAACAAGCCCTCAGCACCGCAATACGAGTATCTCCCAGGTTGGTACACTGTCACAAGTCATTAAACGAAGGACAAACCCAAACAAGATGGCACAAGCCAAACCGGGTGGGGGGACAGCAACACATCCAGATAGAGAGGCTAGCTAGCTAGCTGCTCTATGCAATTGATATCTGGTTATACAGTTGTAGTCAGAAGCTTACATACACTTAGGTTGGCGTCATTAAAACTCGTTTTTCAACCACTCCACAAATTTCTTGTTAACAAACTATAGTTTTGGCAAGTCGGTTAAGACATCTACTTTGTGCATGACACAAGTAATTTTTCCAACAATTGTTTACAGACTGATTATTTCACTTATAATTAATTGTATCACAATTCCAGTGGGTCAGAAGTTTACATACACTAAGTTGACTGTGCCTTTAAACAGCTTGGAAAATTCCAGAAAATGATGTCATGGCTTTAGAAGCTTCTGATAGGCTAATTGACATCATTTGAGTCAATTGGAGGTGTACCTGTGGATGTATTTTAAGGCCTACCTTCAAACTCAGTGCCTCTTTGCTTGACATCATGGGAAAATCAAAAGAAATCAGCCAAGACCTCAGAAACAAAATTGTAGACCTCCACAAGTCTGGTTCCACCTTGGGAGCAATTTCCAAACGCCTGAAGGTACCATGTTCATCTGTACAAACAATAGTACGCAAGTATAAACATCATGGGACCACGCAGCCGTCATACCGCTCAGGAAGGAGACGCGTTCTGTCTCCTAGAGATTAACATACTTTGGTGCGAAAAGTGCAAATCAATCCCAGAACAACAGCAAAGGACCTTGTGAAGATGCTGGAGGAAACAGGTACAAAAGTATATATATCCACAGTAAAACGAGTCCTATATCGACATAACTTGAAAGGCCGCTCAGCAAGGAACTAAGATTGTACTTTTTGGAGAAATATCCTCTGGTCTGATGAAACAAAAATATAACTGTTTGGCCATAATGACCATCGTTATGTTTGGAGGGAAAAGGGGGTGGCTTGTAAGCCGAAGAACACCATCTCAACCGTGAAGCATAGAGGTGGCAGCATCATGCTGTGGGGGTGCTTTGCTGCAGGAGAGACTGGTGCACTTCACAAAATAGATGGCATCATAAGGAAGGAAAATTATGTAGATATATTGAAGCAACATCTCAAGACTTCAGTCAGGAAGTTAAAGCTTGGTCACAAATGGGTCTTCCAAATGGACAATGACACCAAACATACTTCCAAAGTTGTGGCAAAATGGCTTAAGGACACTAAAATCAAGGTATTGGAGTGGCCATCACAAAGCCCTGACCTCAATCCTATAGAAAATGTGTGAGCAAACCTGACTCAGTTACACCAGCTCTGTCAGGAGGAATGGGTTAAAATTCACCCAATTTATTGTGGGAAGCTTGTGGAAGGCTACCCGAAACGTTTGACCCAAGTTAAACAATTTAAAGGCAATGCTACCAAATACTAATTGAGTGTATGTAAACTTCTGACCCACTGGGAATGTGATGAAAGAAATAAAAGCTGAATACAATTATTTACTTTTATTTAACTAGGCAAGTCAGTTAAGAATACATTATTATTTACAATGAAGCCCTACACCGGCCAAACCCGGGCCAATTGCGCGCCGCCCTATGGGACTCCCAATCACGGCCAGTTGTGATACAGCCTGGAATCGAACCGGGAGTCTGTAGTGACGCCTCAAGCACTGAGATGCAGTGCCGTAGACCGCTGCGCCACTCGGGAGCTACTATTATTCTGACATTTCACATTCTTAAAATAAAGTGGTGATCCTAACTGAGAATTTTTACTAGGATTAAATGTCAGGAATTGTGAAAAACTGAGTTTAAATGTATTTGGCTAAGGTGTATGTAACTTTCCGACTTCAACTGTACATCTGTGCTTATACATTCTAACGTAGAGCTCTTACCAAGAGAATCCTCTCAGGAATGCGCAGAGAAAAAGAAGAGGTGGAAGTAGTGCGATGGCAGCTATTTAAGGGGGTCAGGCGCAGCACTACCCGGTACAGGGGACTATTCTGAAATCCTTACTCGGAATGTATCCTGCTGCGCTAAAGGATACCATATTGGAGTGATCCAATATAGTGCTACATAACCATATATTACACACACCCTGCAAAGGTAAGTAATTGCTCTATGCAGTCTAGAATTTGTATAACTTGTTGATTACATTTGTTGTTCATCGTATTTGACTTGTTTCTGATTTGTTCTTATTCTATGTGTACATTTCCAGTACAGTTTGTGTATATATAAGTACTAGAAATACATGGTTACGTACATGTTTATATATGATTTTGTGTTCAGTAACTCATTTCCAGAATTTATTGTATTTCATTGTTTATGTGGTGAGTGAACTATGTAGTTTGTGATTCTCTGGGCATAGATATTTTACAGTAAATTGCATTCTAAATATTGTTTTCTTTATTTTAGAATTATTATTTTGGGCATTAGTCTGGTCTTATTGTATGATATACATTTCAGTATGTTTTATTCTCTGTGTGTATCCTTTACTATTTTTCCAAGAGCTACATTTACCTGAAGGGAAAGTGACCCTGAAAAGCAGAGTTGTTTTGACAAGACAGTAAATGAGAGAGTACTCGTGGGGTATTAGACCCTTCGAGTACTTCCATTTGCAGCCAATGATTTTCTAAGTTATCAGATCCTCCGTAGCAACAGGTGACATGCCATTTAAGGAGTCATTTTATTACCACGATTACATTGTGCTCTGAGAATGGCCTTAACTGCTGCAGACAATATGCAAATCAGGCCATGGAGTGTTACTGGGTATGGGACCTCAGTAATGGGTCAGGTACCAGAGTATCAGACAGACTATGAGGACTTTAGCCTTGTTTATCCACTTGCTACACAGAGGGATGAGACATAGTATTTTCCTATTACTATCATCAAGAGAAGCCTTATTACAGGATTACTGTAAGCCTGGCAGGCAGTGACATTATCCAAACATTTGATTTCCCATAACTCATAGTCTGTTTGCATCTCTGTCTGCAGACAGGCTGGCCCCTACTATGGCAGGGGGGAAAGAGAGAGACAGAGAGGAATAACAGCAGCAGATGGGAGAGTGGGCAACCAGAATGATTTGTGTCACTTACATTGAGGCAGACCGACATGCTGCTTTGTTCAATTCTGGATACACTGATGAAATGGAGCCATCGCTACTCTGTTTCATTCCCAATGGATTTGGCCATTACAGGTGGCCAGTGTCTGTGAGTGTGTGTGTGCACAAAAACAATTCATATTTAGAAGAACTCATTCATGTTAGTGACTATTTGGCGTAGTCCTGTATTCAGAAGATTAATCAGGAGATTATGTAAGAGCATTTCACAATTCTGCTAAAGATTAATCGTTTTCGTGTAGACATATCGACACTAGAGTTTCGATTAGTGCGGTTTGTGTGTGTCTGGAAGGTGGTCCTGGTCCAACAGGGATGGTTAAAGACTCCTTTCCCAGGCCATAGCCCCATATCTGTGGCACTGTTAGTGTGCTGGTGAGTGGGGAGAGTGGTTGGTGAGGGCTGTGTGCTGCTCCATTTGAGTATTTATCTCTTCTGGTCAGTGTCCCGTTCCTAAATGCTTTTGTGAAATGTCGCTGTGTATGCAAAGCACCTAGTTATGCAGTTTTGAATTACTGTAGTCCTCTGCGATATCAGGGGAGGATACTTTTGACTTAAGTACTGTACAAAGGGAGGATAGCTCCTATATTTGAAGGCAGGTTGACTGATCATGCTAGACAGTGAACCCTTTGTAGTGTGCCTGGATGAATGGGTGAATTAAAGGTTGATTTAATCAGTTAACTGAATAGAGTTTGTATACAACATTGATGTAATGCAAATGTCTCTTGACTGCTCTTGCAAAGAAATATACATACACTGGACATTACACTAAACCATGCCCTGGATGGAAGAGTGAGTCAGCATGGCCACAGGTGAATCATATATTCCAGTCCTTAATGGTATCTGTGCGTGTGTTTTGTGTGTTGTTTCCAGGCAGGGGACAAACACTACCATCCCAGCTGTGCACGATGCAGCAGGTGCAACCAGATGTTCACAGAAGGAGAAGAGATGTACCTGCAAGGTGATTAGCTAGATGGGCTGACGTTATGATTGGAGCATTTTAAGGGTTATTACGGTATAGCTGGGTTGGTTTAGCCTGGTATCAGATCTGCTGTATAGCCAACACTTAAGTGTGACCATAAATGTTGGCAAGATAGCACAAACATATCTGGGATCAGGTTAGGTTTGGATGTCTTTGTTTACTTAGACCATCTGTCTCTGTTCTATTCCACAGGATCAACCGTGTGGCACCCTGGCTGTAAGAACACAACCAGAACAGAGGAGCGACAGAGGGAACGGGTAGGAATCTATCTGGACATTAATGACCTCTTGTACCTTGACCTTGTTTGCATTGTGCAAGTGTCTCTTCTGTGTCAGCCAGTCCCAATTTGCTCCCCATACCCCTTCCCATTGGACCTAAACCTTCGATGTGTGCAGATTTGTAAGGTGTAAGTAATAAATAAAATCAATGTTTATTGGTCGCGTACACAGATTTGTAGGTGTTAAAGCAGGTGCAGCGAAATGCTTATGTTACTAGCTCCAACAGTGCAGTAGAATGTCTTGCAAATACAATACAAATACACAAATAATCAAAAAAATCCAATCAAGAAATAACAATCCGAAGTAGATATATTAGAGTGAGCATGTTTGAGAATATAAATACGTGGTGTCAATAGACAGTATATAATTTGGAAAAGAAAATGGTATGTACAGTAGTAGGTACAGTATATAAGGATGAGTTATGTTGAGATTACAGTATATACAGACACAGTGAGTAAACAACAGTATATAAACAGAATGAGGTGACCAGCGTTCAATTACTTTATACATGGGGCATTAGTCTCAAGGTGCAGGGCTGAGTACCAGGCAGGTAGCCGGCTAGTGATGGCTGTTCAACAGTCTGATGGCCTGGTCATAGAAGCTGTTTCTCAGTCTCTCAGTCCCTGCTGATGCACCTGTACCGTCTCTGTCTGCTAGATGGTAGCAGAGTGAACAGACCGTGGCTCGGGTGGCTGAGGTCCTTAAAGATCTTCTTGGCTTTCCTTCAACACCGAGTGCTGTAAATGTCCTGGAGGGCAGGCAGCGTGCCCCCGGTGATGCACCACCCTCTGGAGAGCCATGTGGTTGAGGGCGGTGCAGTTGCAGTAGCAGGTAGTGATGCAGCCCGACAGATGAGTATGGTGGAAGCTCCACCACTACACGGCCTATACCAACCCAGACCCCTCAGATCTGCAAACATCAAAAAGTTGGGGCTAAAGGGAAGGGGTAGGGAGCAAACCGAGACTGGCTCCGTTTGTGTTGTTACTGGTTTTTAGGAGGCTAAAATGTATTCAGTGAGCACAGCATCAGGCTGCACAGATACCTACAGTATTTGCAGACACCTAAAGACACCTCCACTTTAACCCTATGTCCATCTTATGTCTACATCTGTATGTAGTGTGTGTCCCTCACCCTGTGGTGGTTGTGTGCGTGTGAGCTGCAGGTTTGGGGTCAATTCCATTTAATTTCAGTCAATTCAGCAAGTATTGAATTAACTGAAATTCCAATTGAAAAGCATTGAGATTTTTTTTCTTGCAATTAAAATGTCAGTTAACTTCCGGAATTGACTGAATCGAAATGGAATTGACCAGAACCCTGGTGAGCTGTGACCTGGACAGCTGAATGGGCTCCATCTAAGTCAGGTTGGAGAGGAGGCACAAGGCACAGCACAGCCCTTGTGTGTGTGACCTCCTGTGAAGCCCCCCCCCCCCCCCCCCCTTCCTTGACAGCTGTTTCCTCCATCACTATTACTCCTTGACAAAATAGAAGGGCTGGTACTGTATTCTCTATTGGCTATTCGATGGCATCAGCCTGTGTTACTTCCTTCATGATGTTGCATAGGTCGTAGGTGTCAGGGCGTGTGTAGGTGTGGTGTAGGAAATCAGATGCAGGACGCAGACGGTAGGTTCCAAAAGCTGTATTCCGACCCAAACACAGGCAACAGGGCAACAAAGCCCAACAGCTAAACTACGCCAAAGGCGTGTAGGCAAAATGCGCACAAAACAGGTGCGACAAAATATGTAGTGCACGAAACAAGTGCAAACGAGCTCCAGCGCAGTGGAGAGAAATATGCTCAACCGAGCAAACACTACACTGACGAAAACAATCACACACAACACAAGACAAACACAACGAGAAACTTATAGGATACTAATCACGTAAAACAGAAACAGGTGTGACACAAACAGACAAAAGCAAACGAACATGAAAACATAAATCGGTGGCAGCTAGAATTCCGGAGACGACGAACGCCGAAGCCTGCCCGAACAAGGGAGAGAGGCAGCCTCGGCCGAAACCGTGACAGTAGGACATGATTTAGTGTGTGCTGCCCCCGTGCTGGAGCCAGCCTGCAGTGCTATTATCTCTGTCTCTCATTTGGATCCATATCTGACCCATTCACCAACAGCACTTAGACTCAGGCCCATACAGTCACATATTATCTCCTTAGCAAGGGCTAAAGGCAAGAACATATTTGAGGAGTAGACATAAACAGGGTTCAAATTATACATTAACTCTTGGGGATGCCCAATGTCTCTTGAGGGCACCCAATTTGTTATGGGGGTGCCCAGCCCCCCCTGTAATTTGAGCCATGGATATAAATATCAAACGACATATAGTGATGGTTGTTTTCACCCAAACAACTCTCTTTAAAAAGCTCCCATTTATAGTAACCATGTGGTTGTGAAAACATGATTATAGTCAATCAATACATGAATTCAGGACTGTTGTTTCCATCTGAAGTCCATTTCCCATGGGAATGCATGTGGTATTTACAGTGTTAAGGACATTACTAAGTCACAATGCAAATGCCCTCATTCACTTTGCAAGAGGCAAATGAATGACATCATTGCAAGATCATGTGTTTGTATTTTATTTAAAGATTGAATCTACTTGTCATGTGACAATGTGGTGGAATTTCAAAAACAAAGTTAGGTGTTAAACTGTGTTTTCTTTATTTTCTTTATTTAACCTTTATTTATCCAGGCGAGTCAATTAAGAACAAATTCTTATTTACAATGACGGCCTGATTAATTCTTATTTTCACCTCCTTTTGATGTGATTGAGTGGACATATTTCACTCATCATTTGCAAATGGAGGCAAACATAATACTGTAGCAACTTTAATCCAACACCTAGAAACCTCATCAAGAGGTTCGGCTCTCTTGGCGTAACAGCTAAGGTGTTGGGTCACTGGACCCGGGTTCGAGTTCCAGTTGGGGCTGCCCCCCAAATTCACTGCAATACGAATTGAAAAAGGATGAGATGCCATGAGCCAACTGAAAGATAACTAAACTAGTCCAGGGAGGTCCTTGAATGTGGACAGAGAGATTGACTTATCCCTTTTTTGTTCTCCTCTTGCAGCCTTCAAGGTCGTCATCCGAGAGTATCTGTTCCAGACCTGGTTCAAGCATACCCGGCTCACCAGGTCATACCATATATGTGAGTTCTGTCTACCATACAACTACTCTCACACACGTACTGGGCTGGATGTACTGCTTTTTTTTTTATATACGCCACTTCTCCCCTAGGGAAGCTTAAGATAAATTGTGATTCCATGTGTAAACTTTGTCTTAGTCGTAGACCTTATTCTTACCGGTACATCGATTTTCTGTTCAGCCTTACATCCAAAGCGGAAGGAGCCCTAGGCTTATCAGACTCTCTTATAGTTCCTCTACAGACCCTGACCACTGGGGTTGTTAGAAATAGAGGGACTTTTTAGCTGCCCTAATACTGGCTAGTGTTAACTCTTTGCAGTAGATGTGTGCTTTTAGTTGTGTATAACGTCTCTCGCTCTGTCTCTTTGTATGTGTCGATCTGTCTCTGTCTGTCTGTGTCCCTAGGCAAAAGTAGACGATGAGATCCTTGATTACAGGGACCTAGCCGCCATTCCCAAAGTCAAAGCCATTTATGATATAGAGCGCCCTGATCTGATTACCTATGAGCCTTTGTACACCATGTCCCTTGATGAGAGGGAGGAGAGGAGAGAGAGTGTGGGAGAGGTAAATAGCATGCAACCATGCATGAACGTGTGTGTGTGTGTGTGTGTGTATACAGTGAGGGAAAAAAGTATTTGATCCCCTGCTGATTTTGTACGTTTGCCCACAGACAAAGAAATTACCAGTCTATAATTTTAATGGTAGGTTTATTTGAACAGTGAGAGACAGAATAACAACAAAAAAAACGCATGTCAAAAATGTTATAAATTGATTTGCATTTTAATGAGGGAAATAAGTATTTGAACCCCTCTCAATCAGAAAGATTTCTGGCTCCCAGGTGTCTTTTATACAGGTAACGAGCTGAGATTAGGAGCACACTCTTAAAGGGAGTGCTCCTAATCTCAGCTTGTTAACTGTATAAAAGACACCTGTCCACAGAAGCAATCAATCAGATTCCAAACTCTCCACCATGGCCAAGACCAAAGAGCTCTCTAAGGATGTCAGGGACAAGATTGTAGACCTACACATGGCTGGAATGGGCTACAAGACCATCGCCAAGCAGCTTGGTGAAAAGGTGACAACAGTTGGTGCGATTATTCGCAAATGGAAGAAACACAAAATAACTGTCAATCTCCCTCGGCCTGGGGCTCCATGCAAGATCTCACCTCGTGGAGTTGCAATGATCATGAGAACGGTGAGGAATCCGCCCAGAACTACACGGGAGGATCTTGTCAATGATCTCAAGGCAGCTGGGACCATAGTCACCAAGAAAACAATTGGTAATACAGTACGCCGTGAAGGACTGAAATCCTGCAGCGCCCGCAAGGTCCCCCTGCTCAAGAAAGCACATATACAGGGCCGTCTGAAGTTCGCCAATGAACATCTGAATGATTCAGAGGAGAACTGGGTGAAAGTGTTGTGGTCAGATGAGACCAAAATGGAGCTCTTTGGCATCAACTCAACTCGCCGTGTTTGGAGGAGGAGGAATGCTGCCTATGACCCCAAGAACACCATCCCCACTGTCAAACATGGAGGTGGAAACATTATGCTTTGGGGGTGTTTTTCTGCTAAGGGAACAGGACAACTTCACCGCATCAAAGGGACAATGGACGGGGCCATGTACCGTCAAATCTTGGGTGAGAACCTCCATTGAAAATGGGTCGTGGATGGGTATTCCAGCATGACAGTGACCCAAAACACACAGCCAAGGCAACAAAGGAGTGGCTCAAGAAGAAGCACATTAAGGTCCTGGAGTGGCCTAGCCAATCTCCAGACCTTAATCCCATAGAAAATCTGTGGAGGGAGCTGAAGGTTCGAGTTGCCAAACGTCAGCCTCGAAACCTTTTAATGACTTGGAGAAGATCTGCAAAGAGAAGTGGGACAAAATCCCTCCTGAGATGTGTGCAAACCTGGTGGCCAACTACAAGAAGCGTCTGACCTCTTTGATTGCCAACAAGGGTTTTGCCACCAAGTACTAAGTCATGTTTTGCAGAGGGGTCAAATACTTATTTCCCTCATTAAAATGCAAATCAATTTGTAACATTTTTAACATGCGTTTTTCTGGATTTTTTTGTTGTTATTCTGTCTCTCACTGTTCAAATAAACCTACCATTAAAATTATAGACTGATCATGTCTTTGTCAGTGGACAAACGAACAAAATCAGCAGGGGATCAAATACTTTTTTCCCTCACTGTATGTGTAAGCATGTGCGCGCGTGCATATGTGTGTGCGTGTGTGACGCATCATGTTAAAATGATCAAGCCCTCATTCTGAAGTTGCAAGCTGTGCCGGGTAAGTATTGGTTTGTGAGAAAACAGCTGTGTTGCATTAATTCATATCCATTTTCTAAATTTCTCCCCCCTAGAAAGTAATGTGTTAGACAATAAATATGTCTGTTGTTTCAGGGAGGAAGGCTAACACTTTGTGTACATTTCGTATCTAGTAATAATAATAATAATAATAATAATACATTATATTTATACAGCGCTTATCAAGGACCCAAAGTCTAATGTTAACGTCACATTCAGGTTCTTGACAAACTCAGCCATATAAAGGAAACCTATTATTGACACATGAGAGTGCTCAGTCATTTTCTGTGTCCACAGCTCCATACTGCGAGAAGGGAGCGTTCCCCCATGCCAGATGACAAGGTAAGACAGCCACCAACTATTCTCATTGATGATAACATGGTGTTGGTGTGTGCATAGAGTATGTTATATGGTGTTTCTTTGCTTACAGTATGGTCATGATTGTAAGCTAAGTTAGCTTGAAAAAGAATACAACAATTTATTTTCTCTTTCAGTCCTCAAGAAACATGTCACCTACACCATCCGCTGAGGTGAGTGCAACTCAGTACTGCGTTACACAGTAATACACTGTACATGTTTAGCTGCAAACGTTCAGATTGAATTACAATGAAAAGAAGCTCTTGACTATCAGTTGATAGTGATTGACAGGTGATGTAACTGTGTTGTCCCTGTAGGGCTGCTATGACATGAGGGAACGCATCCTTCAGAGGTCCACCAGTCAGGGCTCCATCGGCTCACCTGTCTACAATCGCCATAGTTACACCCCGCTGTCACGCTCACCGCAGCATTTTCACAGACCAGGTGAGTGTATGCGTGTCTCAGTGTATCACGACTCAGGATATGACCCAGATGCAGACACAGGAGGCGGATGGTTCGGTTCTCAGAATATTTATTATCACAAAGAGTCAGGTAAAAGGGCAGGTCAAGGACAAGCAGAGGTTCGTAATCCAAGGCAGAGTCAACAAGGGACAGAACGGCAGGCAGGCTCAGGGTCAGGGCAGGCAGAAAGGTCAGAACTGGGAAGACTAGAAAACAAAACTAGAGAGATGGTAACACACGGAAAACGGGAGACAAAGGGCTGTGAGACAAAGGTTTAATCCTAGACACATGGAAAGTGGGATGTATACGGAGGGTACGGGTCAACAGAAGACAAACAGCAGAGGGGCTATGAACTTCAGAGATGGGGAATGGAGCAATAAAATGGGGGGAAAGTTTTTGAGACTCCACCCGGAGGGGCAAATCACGGGTGGACAGCCATACCCTCTGCCAGGGCCGATAGCGGGGAGCCGGGGTCCGGTGGCGATCTGCCTGTCGCCGATACCTGGAGGTAGTCTTAAGAAGAGCGGACCGGGCTCTCTTCCAGGTACGCCGACTGCGGCGGACGAACATCTGGGCCGAGGGTATGCTGACCTTTTCCTCTTGCTCAGGGAAGAGCGGGGGCTGGTAACCCAAGGAACACTTGAAGGGCAAGAGTCCAGTGGCCGAGCAGGGAAGGGAGTTGCGGGCGTACTCCACGCACACAAGTTGCTGGCTCCAGGTGGTAGGGTTGGCAGAGACGAGGCAGCGAAGAGTAGTCTCCAGGTCCTGATTGGCTCGTTCCGATTGGCCGTTAGACTGGGGATGCAACCCGGAGGACAGGCTGGCCGATGACCCAATGAGGGTGCAGAATGCCTTCTAGAACCTGGACGAGAACTGAGGACCCCGATCGGAGACCATGTCGACCAGAAGTCCATGGATCCAGAAGACGTGCTGCACCATAAGCTGGGCCGTCTCCTTGGCTGAGGGGAACTTGGGAAGGGGAATGAAATGTGCAGCTTTGGAAAACCTATCCACCACAGTAAGGATGGTGGTGTTGCCATCTGACGGAGGGAGACCTGTGACAAAGTCCAGGGATATATGGGATCAGGGGCGATGAGGTTGTGGTTGAAGGAGGCCAGCCAGAGCTTGCCGCAGAGTCTTGTTCTGTGAGCTCACCATGCAGGCAGCGACGAATGTGGAGTAGTCCGTAACCATGGTGGGCCACCAAAACATTGGCGGATGAAAGCCAGGGTCCGACGAGAGCCGGGATGACAGGTGAGTTTCGAGGAATGGGCCCATTCCAGGACCGGGGACTGGGACAAATCTGGGACGAAAATCCGGTTAGCTGGGCCCCCTTCCCGGGGTTCAGCTAGGAACACTGCTCCTTGTGGACCCGGCTCTCAATACCCCAGACTAGTGTAGCTGCTAGACAGGAGGTAGGTCAGATGGTGTAGCAGCGGAACTATACAGGCGGGAGAGGGCGTCAGGCTTCACATTCTTGGACCCAGGCGGTAGGCGATGGTCAAATTGAATTGAGTGAATAACAGAGCCCAACGAGTCTGCCTTGAGTTGAGGCGCTTGGCGGTGCGGAGATATTCCAAATTCTTATGGTCGGTCCACACTAAGAATGGATGTTCTCCTCCAGCGCCATCTTGACCGCAAGAAGTTCCCAATTTCCCACGTCATAGTTCCTCTCAGCGGAATCGAGACGATGGGAGAGGAAAGCACAGGGATGCAGCTTTTGGTCCTGGACAGAACGCTGGGACAGGACGGCCCCCACTCCAATGTCCAAGGCGTCAACCTCCACCACGAACTGACAGGATGGATTAGGATGGGGGCTGTGGTGAAACGGTGCTTCAGATCCAGAAACGCCCGGTCAGCAGCTGGGGAGCACATGAATGGAACCTTGGGAGAGGTGAATGCAGAGAGGGGGGAGGCTAGGGTGCTGTAGCCCCAAATAAAGCGGCGGTAGAAATTAGCAAATCCCAGGAAACGTTGCAGCTGCACTCTGGATGTGGGTTGGGGCCAAGCCAACACCGCTCTCACCTTGTCAGGATCCATCTGAATGTTCCCTGCAGCGATGACATATCCCAGAAAGGGGATAACATTTATCCGCTTTAACAAACAGACTAGAAAACAAAACTAGAGAGAACACGCTGGGACAACATTACGAACTGGCAACAGACAAACATAAAACGCAGGTATAAATACACAGGGGATAATGGGGGGTGGAGACAAGCACAAGACAGGTGAAACTGATCATGGTGTGACAGTGTGTGTGTGTGTGTTTCAGTGTCAAATCAAATTTTATTTCTCACATGCGCCAAATACACACAGTGTGTTGTGAATGTATTGTAATGTTTTTAAAATTGTTTGAACTGCCTTAATTTTGCTGGATCCCAGCAGCTAATGGGGATCCATAATAATTACAAATACAACAGGTGTAGACTTTACAGTGAAATGCTTACTTACAAGCCATTAACCAACAATGCAGTTTTAAGAAAAAATAAGTGTTAAAGTATTTACTAAATAAACTGCAGTAAAGAATAAATAAATAAAAAGAAGAATGAAAAAAAGAAGAAAATAGAAAAATAACACATAATTAAAGAGCAACAATAAAATAACAGTAACGAGGCTATATACAGGGGGTACCGGTACAGAGTCAATGTGCGGAGGTACAGGTTAGTTGAGGTAATTGAGGTAATATGTACATGTAGGTAGAGATAAAGTGACTATGCATAGATAAACAGAGAGTAGCTGTTCAGGAGTCTTATGGCTTGGGGGTAGAAGCTGTTAAGAAGCCTTTTGGACCTAGACTAGGCGCTCCGGTACCACTTGCCGTGCGGTAGTAGAGAGAACAGTCTATGACTAGGGTGGCTGGAGTCTGACACCGCCTGGTATAGAGATTCTGGATGGAAGAAAGCTTGGCCCCAGTGATGTACTGGACCGTACACACTACCCTCTGTAGTTCCTTGAGGCCGAGCAGTTGCCAGACCAGGCGGTGATGCAACCAGTCAGGATGCTCTCGATGGCGCAGTTGTATAACTTTTTGAGGATCTGAGGACCCATGCCAAATCTTTTCAGTCTCCTGAGGGGGAATAGGCGTTGTCCTCCTCTCTTCACGACTGTCTTGCTGTGTTTGGACCATGACAGTTCATTGGTGATGTGGACACCAAGGAACTTGAAACTCTCAACCTTCTCGGCCCTCCTTTTCCTGTAGTCCACGATCATCTCCTTTGTCTTGATCACGCTGAGGGAGAGGTTGTTATCCTGGCACCACCCTGCCAGGTCTCTGACCTCCTCCCAATAGGCTGTCTCATCATTGTCGGTGATCAGGCCTACCACTGTTGGTTGTGTCGTCAGCAAACTTAATGATGGTGTTGGAGTCATGCTTGGCCATGCAGTCATGGGTGAACAGGGAGTACAGGAGGGGACTGAGCACACACCACTGAGGGGCCCCCGTGTTGAGGATCAGCGTGGCAGATGTGTTGTTACCTACCCTTACCACCTGGGGGCGGCCCGTCAGGAAGTCCAGGATCCAGTTGCAGAGGGAGGTGTTTAGTCCCAGGGTCCTTAGCTTAGTGATGAGCTTTGAGGGCACTATGGTGTTGAACGCTGGGCTGTAGTCAATGAATAGCATTCTCACGTAGGTGTTCATTTTGTCCAGGTGGGAAAGGGCAGTGTGGAGTGCAATAGAGATTGCGTCATCTGTGGATCTGTTGGGGCGTTATGCAAATTGGAGTGGGTCTAGGGCTTCTGGGATAATGGTGTTGATGTGAGCCATGACCAGCCTTTCAAAGCACTTCATGGCTACAGACGTGAGTGCTACGGGTCGTAGTCATTAAGGCAGGTTACCTAGGTGTTCTTGGGCACAGGGACTATGGTGATCTGCTTGAAACATGTTGGTATTACAGAGTCTGTGTGTGTGTGCGCGAGCGTGCACGCATGCATGCATGTATGGTTTGTATTGTTACTCTTTACAGGTTACACAGGTGAAATAATTGAAAATAGTCTGAGATGTACACTAGGCACTGCCTCAACACTCTTCCTTTACTATTTTGACAATAACAGAATACCACTTGTTCACAACTCACAGGAGTAACATTCATGCCTGTCACTCTTTCTTAACCCCACCTTAATCTTAACTCCCCACTGCAGCTGCTCTGTTGCTCTCCTCCTATATCTTTACTCTTCACTGACCACTCTGATAACACTTTATAATAACTGTCATGAATAAGCAATTATAAATGCTTATACATGTTTAATAATGTAATAATTAAATATTTAAGTATTATTAAAGTGGAACTGACAGCGTTTTAACTTCTTTGCAGATTTGAAACAGAATCATAATATCAGTCAGAAATATAAAATCCCCAGTTTGTTACAAAACCAACTTTTAAAAATAGGTTCTATTTGACAAAACATTTCATGATGTAGAGTAAGGCATTGTTGGCAGAATAGATGGATGCAGTTCAATGCGTAATTAATATTATTCACCAATACTTTTCTTGGTAGTCCAACAAATATTGCTATCAGGTTGTAAATCACAGCTGTCCTGGTACATTGTTTGCTGCCTCCAGCCATTCGGGATGCACTGTTTCCGTTTCAATTACTCAATATTTTGGACAAAAACTGAGAAATGTAAAGAAGACTGGGAATGTCAATGCAATCAAACTAGCAAGGGCAATGATCACAGGCCAGTCATAACATGGCTAATAGGCTAGCTTTTATTTAGCGAGCTGAAAACACGGAGCCTAATGTTAGCTAGCTAGCTGCTGGGTGGATGTCATGTCATTGAACGAGTGGGTGAGTGCCCCCTCCTCTATAGTTTTTTGGTGGCTAAAGCTAGAGATGCATGTGTCATTTGGTTAGCTAGCAAGAAATGTGAATAACTTTGCTAGGTAGCTATGCTGAACTTGAACGACTGTTATCCACAGTTAGCATATCTCTTAGTTGTCAATCAAATGTATTTGGCATCGATCAATTGGGCGGGCAGGAAAGTTCCCAAAACGTGGGTTGAGACAAGCATGCATTGGCAGGCAAGCTGCAGAAGGGCGAGCAGGCTACTATTCCCATCATTTATCAGTGCAATTTTGACGGCCAACAACAAGCTGAAAAAGTTTGGGAGGGTTTAACTACTGTTCCCTCGTTAGATTTGAGCAAATCTCACTCTTGCTAACATTAGTTGTTGATCTTGCTGTTGTTGATGTGCATAGGCAACAGAGATCGTTAGCCTACCTGTTCATGGTTGTTTGATCAATAGGACAGTAAAGTTTCCAAATGTAAGTGGACTCCCGTGGTATTTACATATTTGCAGAAATCCATGTGTATTTTGTGGCTTTTGGCGACTGCTTTCTAATGATGTAAAGTCGCACTGTTGCTACAGCCTGTAAACACACAGTCCAGTTCAAAGTGAATGATGGCAGGCCCATGTGGGAAATGGCTTATTTGTATATAGGCCTACTGTAGCTCTGATTGGCTATGGCGCACCGGTCTGTGTAGAGTCCGGTCCTTCACAAGACAGATGTTTTTATTCTGTTTTAATTACTGCAGTGTCTGTTAATTGTCCAAATGCACGTCCGCTTTCCCACTCTATATTGCTATTGAATTTTCACAAATGCCTTACTGTACGTCATTCCCAAACATGCTATGAAAGTATGAAAATGTGAAAATGACCATATCTAAGTGCTCACTTGTCAGAAAATGTAAATACAAATTTGTCATATTCTTCCTGGACAAATATTAATAAGATTTAATGTTGCTAAAATGCTGTCAGTTCACTTTAATGTAGAGATAATACTAATGTTTCCCTTATTCCTTATCCCCATCTCCCTCAAATAGTCCTTCCTCCTCATTTCAAGTTTCTTAATTTCTAGTTTTGACATGATTCCTATTTTCTCCCTTTTCCTCTTTTCTTCACCCTCTCTCACCTCACCTCCTCCTCTCTCCCTCCCTAACTGTGGTGGTGTGTATCCACTATCCTTGTGTATATCTGTGATGGTGTCTACCGACTGTCTCACTCCCTTTTCGCCTCCACACCTCCGTCTTCCTCCTCCAACTCCGCTCTACATCTCCCTTACCTGTAATGATGTCTTCCCAACGGCTCTGTCCCACCTGCCCTCCCTCACCACCTCTCTCCTGCAGAGGCTCTGACAGGCATGCAGAAGCTCTGCTCCGCCCTGTGCAGTAACAGTGTGGGCTCCTCCAGCCATAGTGACTCCCATCCCACCTCACCTTTCAGACACCACTTCTTTCCCCATAGCCAAGGTAAGACAGGGCCCTAGACCACATGGTCCCTCCACTGTCCCCACTCCCCAGGCAAGCTATGTCACCTCAGACTCTATGGCTTAACTCATGTCATTTCCATAATCTCCTGCCCCCATATACTGTAGCCGTGCACATTTGATGTGAAACGTCTGGCAGAGCTGAGTACCCTGGTCCCAAATCTGTTTGTGCTTTTCTTGCCAACTGACCATAGTCTGGCAAAGAGATCTGGGACCAGGCTAGAGACATCTCATCTGCTGTCAAAGTCGTAAGATGACACAGACATGCAGCCCAGCTCACTTACACCAATCAAATGTCCAGAGACTTTTACTGCACCTCTGGACATTTTGACCCATGTCATGCTTTCTTTTTGTTCTGAGAGTTTGTATTTGGCAGTGGTGATGGCCATGCATGCACTTTTACATTTTCTTTGTCACCCAAGTCACATTACTGGCATTCTGCCTGTTTAATGATCAATGTCCATTATGTCTGGCTGCATGCTTTGGATAGGTCTCGTATTACCTCATGGCTACAGTATGTAACTAGGGCTGTGGCGGTCATTACATTTTGTCAGCCGGTGATTGTCATGTAAATACAATGCCTTGCAAAAGTATTCATCCCCCTTTGCGTTTTTCCTATTTTGTTGCATTACAACCTGTAATTTCAATGGATTTTTATTTGGATTTAATGTAATGCACAAAATAGTCCAAATTGGTGAAGTGAAATGAAAAAAATCACTTGTTTCAAAACACTGTAGCCCCTAAGATCTGGTGCAAGTCACATAATTAGTTAAATAAAGTCCACCTGTGTGTAATCTAAGTTAAGCACCATTAAATCCATAATTAAAAAATGGAAAGAATATGACACTACAAAAAACCTGCCAAGAGAGGGCCGCCCACCAAAACTCACGAACCAGTCAAGGAGGGCATTAATCAGAGAGGCAACAAAGACACCAAAGATAACCATGAAGGAGCTGCAAAGCTCCACAGTGGAGATTGGAGTATCTGTCCATAGGACCACTTTAAGCCGTACACTCCACAGACCTGGGCTTTACGGGAGAGTGGCCAGAAAAAAGAAAAAAATAAGCAATCACATTTGGTGTTCGCCAAAAGCCATGTGGGAGACTCCCCAAACATATGGAAGAAGGTACTCTGATCAGATGAGACTAAAATTGAGCTTTTTGGCCATCAAGGAAAACACTATGTCTGGCGCAAAACCAACACCTCTCATCACCCCAAGAACACCATCCAATGTTTTTCATCGGCAGGGACTGGGAAACTGGTCAGAATTGAAGGAATGATGGATGGCGCTAAATACAGGGAAATTCTTGAGGGAAACCTGTATCAGTCCTCCAGAGAATTGAGACTGGGATGGAGGTTCACCTTCCAGCAGGACAATGACCCTTTATTAAATTTTTATTTATTTAATTTTATTTAACCTTTATTTAACCAGGTAAGCCAGTTGAGAACAAGTTCTCATTTACAACTGCGACCTGGCCAAGATAAAGCAAAGCAGTGCGATAAAAACAACAACAACACAGAGTTACATATGTAATAAAATAAAAAAAACGTACAGTCAATAACGCAATAGAAAATCTATATACAGTGTGTGAAAATGCATCCAAGATGGCGTAGCAGTGCGGTCGTGTACTCTTGTGTGTCCGTGTAAATAGCCTATTTTTTTGTATTTTTCGTACATATTTCCCTATCACACTTTCATCCTTTTACTAAATATACTTTCCTGCAACCCGCCTCACTCAATGTGGAACGGATTCTATTATTGACTTACCTTTTATCTAGAATCTCCAGTTGAAACTAGCTAGCCAGCTAACTAGCTACTTGCTATTAGCCACCGTTAGCGGTTTTTCACCCAGAACATCAGATTTTCTGCCGGAATAACTGAATCACTGGACCTTTAACACCGGATCATCGCAACTAGCTAGCTGCAACCAAATGGATGTTGTTGTTGGCTAATCAGCCTTGAGCTAGCCTCGAGTCATGCCCATCTCCCGGCTATCTACCTCTCTGTCAACCGGACGGGACCTCCTAGAGTCGACAAGGAGCCCCGCCGATCCATCACGACTGGTCTGCCGACGTAATCGTCTGTGGTTTCAACAGGCTTCCCGTTGCAACGACCACGAAGATCCATCTGCTAGCCCCGGCCTGCTAGCACACGCAAACAACAGCCGTGCTTCCTGCTCGTCTATGCTATAGCACCAATTCGAACTGCTCTCGGACTCACTTATTTCTGTTCACTGGACCTTATGATCACTCAGCTGCACAGCTGCTGCCTGCTGGACTGTTCCTTTACACGGTACCCTGTCCTGTTTATCTCTTTAGCCTCAGCCCAAACTTTCATCGCCATTACCAGTTGTTGTCTTAGCTCTCTCGAATAACACCTGTGATTGCTTTATGCCTCTCTCCCATGTCAATATGCCTTGCCTATTGCTGTTCCAGTTAGTTCTTATTATACAATTTCACTGTAGAGCCCCAAGTCCCTCTCAAACTGCCTCAAATAGCTCCTTTGTTCCACCTTCCATACAGGTGGAGACCGGCTCAATCGGTGCCTCCAGTGATGCTATCTCTTTCATTGTTACCCAACGCTTAGGTTTACCTCCACTGTACTCATATCCTTCCATATCCTTGTCTGTACATAATGCCCTGAATCTATTCTACAACGCTCGGAAATCTGCCCCCTTTATTCTCTGTACCCAACGCACTAGAAGACCAGTTCTTAAAGCCTTTAGCCGTACCCTTATTCTAGTCCTCCTCTGTTCCTCTGGTGATGTAGAGGTTAACCCAGGCCCTGCAGCCCCCAGTATCACTCCTACTCCCCAGGAGCTATCATTTGTTGACTTCTGTAACCGTAAAAGCATTGTTTTTTTTCAGAAGTCTCCTCCCTAAGTTTGAGTTATTCACTGCGTTAGCACACTCCGCCAACCCTGATATTCTAGCAGTGTCTGAATCCTGGCTTAGGAAGGCCATCAAAAATTCAGAAATGTCCATCCCCAACTACAACATTTTCCGTCTAGATAGAACTGCCAAAGGGGGTGGAGTTGCAATCTACTGTAGAGATAGCCTGCAGAGCTCTATCATACTATCCAGGTCTGTGCCCAAACAGTTTAGCTGCATGTGTGAAGGAGGCTTTGTTGTGAAATAGGAAGCCGATTCTAGATTTAACTTTGGATTGGAGATGCTTAATGTGAGTCTGGAAGGAGAGTTTACGGTCTAACCAGACACCTAGGTATTTGTAGTTGTCCACATATTCTAAGTCAGACCCGTCGAGAGTAGTGATTCTAATCAGGTGGGCGGGTGCAAGCAGCGTTCGATTGAAGAGCATGCATTTAGTTTTACTAGCGTTTAAGAGCAGTTGTAGGCCACGGAAGGAGTGTTGTATGGCATTGAAGCTCGTTTGGAGGTTTGTTAACACAGTGTCCAATGAAGGGCCAGATGTATACAAAATGGTGTCGTCTGCATAGAGGTGGATCTGAGAGTCACCAGAATTGTCGGCCCGAGAATTGAACCCTGTGGCACCCCCATAGAGACTGCCAGAGGTCCAGACAACAGGCCCTCCGATTTGACACATTGAACTCTATCTGAGAAGTAGTTGGTGAACCAGGCGAGGAAGTCATTTGTGAAACCAAGGCTATTTAATCTGCCAATAAGAATGGGGTGATTTGACAGATTCAAAAGCCTTGGCCAGGTCGATGAAGATGGCTGCACAGTACTGTCTTTTATCGATCGCGGTTATTATATCGTTTAGGACCTTGAGCGTGGCTGAGGTGCACCCATGACCAGCTCGGAAACCAGATTGCATAGCGGAGAAGGTACGGTGGGATTCGAAATGGTCAGTGATCTGTTTTGTTAACTAGGCTTTCAAATACTTTCGAAAGGCAGGGCAGGATGTATATACGTCTGTAACAGTTTGGATCTAGAGTGTCACCCCCTTTGAAGAGGGGGATGACCGCGGCAGCTTTTCAATCTCTGGGGATCTCAGACGATACAAAAGAGAGGTTGAACAGGCTAGTAATAGGGGTTGCGACAATTTCGGTGGCTAATTTTAGAAAGAAAGGGTACAGATTGTCTAGCCCAGCTCATTTGTAGGGGTCCAGATTTAGCAGCTCTTTCAGGACATCAGCTATCTGAATTGGGGTGAAGGAGAAGCGGGGGGGGGGGGCATGGGCAGGTTGCAGCGGAGGGTGCAGAGCTGGTGGCCGGGGTAGGGGTAGCCAGGTGGAAAGCATGGCCAGCCGTAGCAAAATGCTTATTGAAATTCTCAATTATCGTAGATTTATCGGGGGTGACAGTGTTTCCTAACCTCAGTGCAGTGGGTAGCTGGGAGGAGGTGCTCTTATTCTCCATGGACTTTACAGTGTCCCAAAACTTTTTGTAGTTAGTGCTACAGGATGCACATTTCTGTTTGAAAAAGCTAGCCTTTCCATTCCTAACTTATTGTGTGTATTGGTTCCTGACTTCCCTGAAAAGTTGCATATCGCGGGGCTGTTCGATGCCAATGCAGTACGCCACAGGATGTTTTTTTGCTGGTCAAGGGCAGTCAAGTCTGGTGTGAACCAGGGGCTATATCTTGTTCTTAGTTCTGCATTTTTTGAATGGGGCATGCTTATTTAAGATGGAGAGGAAAGCACTTTTGAAGAACATCCAGGCATCCTCTACTGACGGAATGAGGTCAATATCCATCCAGGATACCCGGGCCAGGTCAATTAGAAAGGCCTGCTCGCTGTGGTGTTTTAGGGAGCATTTGACAGTGATGAGGGGTGGACGTTTGACCGCGGACCCATTACGGACGCAGGCAATGAGGCAGTGATCGCTGAGATCCTGGTTGAAGACAGCGGAGGTTTATTTAGAGGGTAAATTAGTCAGGATGATATCAATGAGGCTGCCCATGTTTACACATATGGTGTCCAGGGCACAACTGGGGGCTGAGGGGGGGTCTGTAGCAAGCGGCAACAGTGAGAGACTTATTTCTGGAAAGGTGGATTTTTAGAAGTAGAAGCTCAAACTGTTTGGGCACAGTCCTGGATAGTATGATAGAGCTCTGCAGTAGATTGCAACTCCGCCCCCTTTGGCAGTTCTATCTTGACGGAAAATGTTGTAGTTCGGAATGGACATTTCTGAATTTTTGATGGCCTTCCTAAGCCAAGCTTCAGACACTGCTAGAACATCAGGGTTGGCAGAGTGTGCTAACGCAGTGAAAAATTCAAACTTGGGGAGGAGACTTCTGATGTTAATATGCAAGAAACCGAGGCTTTTACAGTTACAGAAGTCAACAAATGATAGCGCCTGGGGAGTAGGAGTGATACTGGGGGCTGCAGGGCCTGGGTTAACCTCTACATCACCAGAGGAACATAGGAGGAGTAGAATAAGGATACAGCTAAAGGCTTTAAGAACTGGTCTTCTAGTGCGTTGGGTACAGAGAATAAAGGGGGCAGATTTCCGGGCGTTGTAGAATAGATTCAGGGCATTATGTACAGACAAGGATATGGAAGGATATGAGTACAGTGGAGGTACACCTAAGCATTGGGTAACTATGAAAGAGAGCATCACTGGAGGTACCGATTGAGCCGGTCTCCGCGTATATGGGGTGGTGGGACAAAGGAGCTCTCTGAGGCTGGTTAAGCTGAACTTGGGGCTCTACAGTGAAATTGTATAATATGAACTAACCCAAACAGCAATAGGCTAGGCATATTGACATGGGAGAGAGGCATAACGCAATCACAGGTGTTATTCGAGAGGGCTAAGACAACAACTGGTAATGGCGACGAAAGTTTGGGCTGAGGCTAAACAGATAAACAGGATGGGGTACCGTGTAAAGGAACAGTCCAGCAAGCATTAGCTGTGTAGCTGAGTGATCATAAGGTCCAGTGAACAGCACTAAGTAAGTTCGGGAGCAGATTGTAGGTTGCTAAAGCACAGGAGCAGGAGGCACGGCTGTTGATTGCGCATGCTAGCGGGCCGGGGCTAGCAGATGGATCTTCGTGGTCGTCGCAACGGGAAGCCTGTTGAAACCACATCAGACGATTACGTCGGCAGACGTGGGGCTCCGTGTCGACACTAGGAGGTCCCGTCTGGTTGACAGAGAGGTAGATAGCCGGGAGATGGGCCTGGCTCGAGGCTAGCTCAAGGCTAACTGGTAGGTCGGGAAGTGGATATTAGCCAACATCAGCCATTCGGTTGCAGCTAGCTAGTTGCGATGGTCCGGTGTTAAGGTCCAGTGATTCCGGCAGAAAATCCGATATGCTCTGGGTCGATAGCACGCTGTGCAGACTGGCCGATAATTGTCCAGGCTAGAGCTGGCTGGTAGGTAGTGCAGGCCATGTGGTGAAGACCGCTAACGGTGGCTTATAGCAAGTAGCTAGTTAGCTGGCTAGCTGGCTAGTTTCAGCCGTAGGTTCTTGATAAAAATAAAGAAATAATAGAATCCGTTCCACATTGGGTGAGGCGGGTTGCAGGAAAGTATATTTAGTTAGAGGATGGAAAGTGAGATTGAGAAATATATACGAATAAAATACACACCAAAAACAAAAAAACTGGCTATTTACACGAGGACACAACACAATACACGACCGCACTACTTCGCCATCTTGGAAATTGACCCTAAGCATACTGCTAAAGCAACACTCGAGTGGTTTAAGGGGAAACATTTAAATGTCTTGGAATGGCCTAGTCAAAGCCCAGACCTCAATCCAATTGAAAATCTGTGGTATGACTTAAAGATTGCTGTACAACAGTGGAAACCATCCAACTTGAAGGAGTTGGAGCACTTTTGCCTTGAAGAATGGGCAAAAATCCCAGTGGCTAGATGTGCCAAGCTTATAGAGACATACCCTAAGAGACTTGCAGCTGTAATTGCTGCAAAAGGTGGCTCTACAAAGTATTGACTTTGGGGGGGTGAATTCTGTTTTTTTGTCTTATTTCTTGTTTGTTGTGTAAATCAAATGATTCAAACCCCCCCAAAATAAATTTTAATTCCAGGTTGTAAGGCAACAAAATAGGAGAAATGCCAAGGTGGGTGAATACTTTCGCAAGCCACTGTAACTGACGGTCTCACGGTAATTGACCGTTAATGAACATAAATACATTTAGCATCTCCTGGCTTCCACGCATAGCCTACAAGCCACTGATGCGGACCTTTGGAAATAAAATACCTCATGCCTTATTGCTTAAATAGAGCACTGAGTACCAAGTTATTAGCGACTTGCAGTTAGCAAGTTTGGTAGGCTACTAATGACCATCAGCGGCATCAGTGCGCAGTATTGGAGAAGCCTAGTTACCCTGACTAAACGGTCATGTGGAATTTGACTGCGGTCATGACTCGTGACCACTAGTGTGGCGGTAATACGGTCACCGTAACAGCTCTATATGTAACTAACCTCCATAGTGTGACTAACTGATTTGGTAACACAGGATTCTTCAATCATTCTCAAAATTTGATTACTCTTTCAGTCCCCTTGCGTCCATTTTTATGCTTTATCCTAATCTCACATGCCAGACTTTACAGCTATATGCAATACTCCCTCGTCTGGCTCTGCGAGATTAGCTTTTTCCAAACGTATGTTTTCCATATCGTTGCCCTGCTTACGTTTTGTTCTTGGTTCTTCTCATTGGAGGCACTGATCCACCTAGCGGGCGGAGCTCCTCTATACCCCAAAGGCCAGACAGCCGGCCTGTCACTCCGCCTCTCTCTCTGACCCCTAAACATTTCCACCTCCCAGGTAGGAGACACACGGAGCGCACCCTATCACTGTCACTGCTACTGGTCACCTGAGACCTTTTATATCTCTCTGTCTCTTTTATTGCTCTCACTCACTTCACTTCTCTCTACCACTTTTCCATTTCAATAACGCTTTTGGTTGAGTCCATTAAAGGATGCTTGCACTTAGTGTGCCCTTTTCACCAGTCACATCACGAATATAAGACTCTCTGGATAAAATAATTGATTTTAATGTAAATTTGTATGTAAATGCTGGTGCTTATTGTTTCACTGTGTTTTACAGTGTGATTGTGAAGACACCCTCACTCTGTCTCTGTGGTATTTTTCATGAGTCATTTCACAATGCCCTCTGTGTCACTGGAAAAGTGTTTGATACGTATACATGAAATGCAAAAGACTGAGTTTTGTCTTTCTCCCTTTCAGATCAGGGGATCAACATTTACAGGAAACCACCCATCTACAAACAACACGGTACATTCACTCTTTGCGACCTGGTTTCACCAGCATTAACAGCATCATTATTGTTATGAATACTTATACTGATACTATTATCCCCAAATAGTGTCATGAGCCTCATTGGCTATAACAATATCGATAAGCTTAGCTTAGGTTGACTCATAAAACTCAGTCCCTGTGGTTATATCTGTGGTGCGGGCGGGTTTAGGGTCATGAAATACTGTGTGGATCAGCTGTTTGTTCACCCGCCTGCAATTGCTAATAACCCATCCGCAACTGCCCGACTATATGTGATAAAGTGAATATCTGAGGCCCACACCTGACCCTAACCCGCTAATATAGAACATGTGGCTAAATGTAGGCTAAAAGCTGATAGTATCAACCACATAAAATATGCATCCAAGCCGAACTGAAATCTTATCAAAAACATGTTGGGTCATTTTAACAGCTTTTAATTTCTTTAAAACTGGTCAAACTGTTGTCATTTGGAAATGTTGCACAAAAAATCGTTCCCATTTTTGTATTTTTTATTGCATTTTCTCCCCAGTCCCTATAAACATCTTGCAGAGATGAAAGAGGAAAGAGAAAACAAACTTTACCGATGTCAACTAGATTGAAGCATTCATTCTATCGATTTATGACATTATTCTGGTGAGCAAGGGTTAATTTAGTCTTCTAGGCAACAACTAATGACAGATGAGAAGCTGCATGTATCTAATTATAGACAAGTTGACTAAAAAATAGCTTCCCAAAATGTTGGAAATTATAAGCAGAAACATGGGCCTATCTAAAAAGGACTGTACAATGCATTTTCTATATTTACAGGTCAGGATCAGGTGCAGGCCTCAGATTTTCCCTTTATCACATATAGTCGGGCGGTTGCGAAAGGGTTATTAACAATTTGCGGGCGGGTGCGGGTGAACAAACAGCTGACCCGCACATCACTATTAGCTATACAAAGCAGCACCTAACCTCTAAAGGTATAGGGTCCTTTCAATTATGGTTTATTTGTTTGGATAGAAATCACGTTGCTCTGTACACCATTTACTGTGCCCACTTCCAATGTCAATGTGTCAATACTTTTTGAAGTCTCTCTCTGACCAAACACTTTCTGAACACTTTCTGAGCATCTAACGCCTAAGCAAAATATCAAGGCATGTGAGCGAGCCTACAGCATATCCAAAAATCTAAAAAGAAGGTTCAAGATGGCAACTTAATTCATATCATTTCTATCAACAATAGAGCCTACACTTTCTATCGCCATTTTAAACTTCTAACGCGGTAGGGATAATAAGGAAGGGAGTGGTTGATGACACACAAGAGCAGCCGTTCACCAACACCTCCAACCGCTATTCGGATGTCGGCCAACGCAGGTTAATGCTCAATCTGATTGCATCGAGGCCTAAATTGCCCTCCTGAACCGTCTTTCAAGATTTTATTTTTACATTCCTAGGACGGAGCACACCTTCAGCCGTGCAGATAATATTATATATATTTGTTAGAGCGCCAGCACACTACAGCATTTGGAAAGTATTCAGACCCCTTGACCTTTTCCACATTTTGTTATATTACAGCATTATTCTAAAATGGATTACATTTAAAAAACAGAAATACCTTATTTACATAATTATTCAGACCTTTTGCTATGAGACTCGAAATTAAGCTCAGGTGCATCCTGTTTCCATTCATCATCCTTGAGATGTTTCTACAACTTGATTGGAGCCCACCTGTGGTCAATTCAATTGATTGGACATGATCTGTCTATATAAGGTCCCACAGTTGACAGTGCATGTCAGAGCAAAAACCAAGCTATGAGGTCAAAGGAATTGTCCGTAGAGCTCCGAGACAGAATTGTGTCGAGGCACAAATCTGGTGAAGGGTACCAAAAAATGCCTGCAGCACTAAAGTCCCCAAGAACACAGAGGCCTCCATCATTCTTAAATGGAAGAAGTTTGGAACCACCAAGACTCTTCCTAGAGCTGGCCGCCCGGCCAAACTGAGCAATCGGGGGAGAAGGGCCTTGGTCAGGGAGGTGACCAAGAACCCGATGTTCACTCTGACAGTGCTCCAGAGTTTCTCTGTGGAGATGGGAGAACCTTCCAGAATGACAACCATCTCTGCAGCACTCCACCAATCAGGCCTTAAGGGTAGAGTGGCTAGACGGAAGCCACTCCTCAGTAAAACGAACATGACAGCCCGCTTGGAGTTTGCCAAAATGCACCTAAAGGACTCTCAGACCATGAGAAACAAGATTTTCTGGTCTGAAGAAACCAAGATTGAACTCTTTGGCCTGAATGCCAAGCGTCACGTCTGGAGAAAACCTGGCACCATCCCTATGGTGAAGCATGGTGGTGGCAGCATCATGCTGTGAGGATGTTTTTCACCGGCAGGGACTGGGAGACTAGTCAGGATCGAGGCAAAGATGAAAGGAGCAAAGTACAGAGAGATCCTTGATGAAAACCTGCTCCAGAGCGCTCAGCACCTCAGACTGGGGCGATGGTTCACCTTCCAACAGGACAACGACCCTAAGCACACAGCCAAGACAATGCAGGAGTGGCTTTGGGACAAGTCTCTGAATGTCCTTGAGTGGCAAAACTGTTTTTGCCCTGTCATTATTGGGTATTGTATGTAGATTGATGAAGGAACAAAACAATTTAATCAATTTTAGAATAAGTCTGTAACGTAACAAAATGTGGAAAAGGGAAAAAGGTCTGAATACTTTGCCAATGCACTGTATATAACCTATGTACAATTCTGAATAATAGGTGTAAGTGTAAAGTTACGGGATTATTTTGATCTTTACCATGTAGAGATTATCACACAACATTTCAGACAGATGATGTTGAAATGTTCAGCTGTAGTTCAGGGGACTTACTTAGACACTGATAGTCCAGTTCCCCTGGTTACCAACCTAGTTTCACCCTCACCAAAAAGAAAGTCTGCTGATGAAATCATCAGATCCGCTACATTTCCTGCCGCCAATGTCCCCCCTCTGGATGACACATCATCGAGCGAGTGCGACCACTGGCCCCCCTACGCTCCCTCCCTGGCCCTGGCTGCCTTAGATAGAGTAGGCTCCCTATGAGCATGCTTGCACTGCCCCACCTCCCAACCCTTAGAGGCTCACTACCCGTAACCAAACCCTGAACTTCGCCCTCTCCAGAAACAACCACTAGTCCCTACCCCCTAGACATTTGTGGAGAACTGAGAGGATTTGATAGGTTTGAACAATATGCCAATAGCTCCCTCTGATAGACTAGGTGTAATATCTGCCATATCCTCTCAGATTTCCACAAGTGTCTAGGATGTAGGGGTTGGGGTTCTTTATGAATAGGACAGAATATCACTCTTATTCACTTGTAGCTTAAACCCACCACAAAGTTTTGACGCGGGAACACAGACTTTTACAATTAATTTGCTGAATTTTGCGCAATGCTGAATAGTGTCTCCTTTAAAGGCTATTGTTGTTGGCGTCATGTCACTTCTTGCTTACTAGATCGATTGATTGATTGATATACAGGTAACTGCCAAAATAAAGGAAACACTTTAGTAAATGAGGGATAGAAAGTATATTGAAAGCAGGTGCTTTCACACAGGTGTGGTTCCTGAGTTAATTAAGAAATGAACATCCCATCATGCTTAGGGTCATGTATAAAAATGCCCAGTTGCCCATTATAATTTTTTATATTTTTGAAGGGGGTGTGTGTATGTGTCTCAGTCACCATATGATCTCAATCCAATTGAAAACTTGTGGTAAATTCTGGAGCGACGCCTGCGTTTTCCACCACCATCAACCAAACACCAAATTATGGAATTTCTCATGGAAGAATGGTGTCGCATCCCTCCAATAGAGTTCCAGACACTTGTAGAATCTATGCAAAGGCACATTACAGCTGTTCTGGCGGCTCATGGTGGCCCAACGCGCTATTTATATCGGTGTTTATTTTATTTTGGCAGTTACCTGTACCTACACCATTCACAAATGACTTGGACAGAGCTAACTGAGACTGGCCTCAAACTGACTTGTCTTCCTGCACAGTTTTTTTTGTGTGTTTTAAACTAATAGTAAAAAGCTAATCTTGTGAAGACTGTTGTAATGTCTGTGTTAACATTCAGTGCAGCTGAGTAGTTGTACTGCCTTGGTGTTGTCTGTGTGTATGTCTAGTCAACTCTGTCTCTCATTTGTTTTCTCCCACACTCCTGTTGCTCATATCTTCGTTCTTCAACCCCACTGCAATGGCTGGAAAGAGAAATCCTACAGCACTTTTGTAAATCCTTTTAAAAATCCTGTACAGTACTTTTGTGAATGTGATATCCACGGATGGAAGCATTCTATAATGCATTCTGTTATAGTTTTGGACAGTCTCGTTTTACTGTATCTAGCACTGCTCCTCGGTCAAGATGCCTTTAGTTCACACACAATGATAAGGACCTGTGTGTGTCTGTGTCTGTATCTGTGCGTCTGGGAGTGTGCGCGCGCATGTTTTGTTGGCTCATTTGTGGGTTGTGTATGCCACTCATAGGATCAGAAGGAGGAAGGAGACGGTCTAGGGAAGAGGAGGAAGAGGAGGCCCTGAAGAGAAAGCAGCTCCAGGAGGAGCATATCAACAAGGTTAGAGAAGGCACATTCATACACCTATTCCCACAATAACACCCACAAACATACACTGGCCCAGGTAGGCAGCTCTGCTCTACTATTGTATGTTCGTAAAACGTTATTTCTGCAGGTATAATGCTTTAAACTTATCAGAAGCATGTACAAGCCTTTATATTGTCTTATAATAAGGTTTATACTACGTTATGTCTCTGTATGTATCAACATTTTAACTGACTCAAAATAGCTGGTATTTAGTAAGGATCATTATTAGATCAAAAAACATAAGATGGTCATACATCCTCATGACAAGTCGTACAGTGCATTATAACTTGATCATAATGCGTTATACCTACAGGCTTTAAAGAGGCACTGAACACGCCGTTTGGCATGTGTGTTTTTCAGTTGCTCATTAGAAAAACTAGATTTCAGTCTCGGAGGTATGTTTCCTGACCGATTCCGCGTTTGGTTAATTATGTTTGTCCCCCATGAGACACTGTAGATGCAGAAGCCTATTTCACTTTCTCAAAATCCACAGAATGAACCTAAGAAAATCCGTAATTCATTTAGATGTTTTTGCCGAGGTGTTTGGTGCAGTATTTCTCAAGTAAAAAATATGCAACATGTTGTCTTATGTAAACAAAGTCAGGCTGCTTGGCAGGTCTGTCTCACTGTCTATGCTATTGGATAGAGAGCAATCACCGCAGCTGTTCACCCCATCTTAGTGGGCAAATATAAATGTACGTCAAATCAAAACCCAACCTTAATTTAGCCGTTGTGACGGATGTTCCAAACTCCGTTTTAGACAAGACTGACTTTATGACCAAAATTATCCTATTTACACATTTCTGACACTAGAATAACTGTTTCTGACTCATATCGATGCCACAGAGGCCATTTTCAAAGGGATTCGTTGCTTTTTAAAGGCAGTTGCTCTTTAAGTTAAGTTTTACGACAATGTTCTGTGTGTCCACAGATCCAGTCTGGTTTGGGGAAGCTGATAATGAAGGAGGAGAATGAGAAAGAGCAGATCAGGGAACGTCGCGCACGCAGCCAGTCAGCTCAGCGCTATGACCCCCAGCAGACCAATTGTGATGGAGGTATGTTCTGACCAACCTCACCATATAGTAACTAGCACATTGTTTAGAAAAACCACATCAAATGAGCTGTAAAGAGGGAAGCATCGTAAAATCATGAAATAAGGGATGCTGGGAGTCTCAGAATGGATTGCGCCTTGCGTATGACTTGTGCCTAACATGCTGACCATACCACCCACGTTGCATGCGCAAGCGTTGCAAAATAAATGTACACATACATGTTATTCAATCATTTCATCAAAATTGCTTGCACGCTTCAACGAGCGTCTGCGTAGCCAGGCGCGAACTTGGTTCTATTTTTGAAGCTTGACTCGCTGCAAGTCCCGCCTCTCCAATCTCCTCATTGGTTTTTAGGAGCATATACCCACGTGGGTGATTGAAAGATGAATTGAGGTCCACACGCCAGTCCAGTTAGTAGCGGTAATGCACCTTAAAATTGGTTGCCAACCACCATATAAAGTCCACAGGAGAAGAAGAAGAAGACTGAAGAAGGAGAGATTACTAGAAACTAACTAGGTATCCCTTTTTATCTGTGGATTAATTGTCGGAGAAGAGAACAAACGATTTTGAATGACTAAAAATGGGTTCAAATTCAACAACGATCCAGAAAAAAATGAACTTGAGCATTTCAGGTAAAATAACAACCCAATGTTTATATCCCAGGACAAATTAGCTAGCAACAGCAAGCTAGCTAGCTAAATGTCCATGAATTTTCATGTGTTTCAACCTGTCTCCAAATTAATATAGTTGGTTCAGAGTTCGTTTTCATATTTCAACCTGTGTGTCCTGATCGTGTCTGGTGTGGATGGACAAAACAAACATGCGCGCGCATGCCCGGTCTAGTCAGTATGTAATAAAGGTGAGAATGGTCAGTTAAGTTCATACCAATGATCCAAAACAGCAGATCATATTGAATGTTAAATATTGAATGTTAAAATGGATTCAATGAACAATCTGTAAAATATGGTAATCAGCGCGCTATCCACCCTGAAACTGCTGAGTTTCCTCAGGAAGAACAGGCGCTGATTTCCCTTCGCACAGATAGCATCCACATTGGCCTCAAAACTCTGTTTGCTTTCAAGGAAAGTGCCAAAGTATTTGTATTGCTCAACGATCTCCACTGGCTCACCATCAATCAGAGTCTGCATTGGTGGCAGGGAGCTCCTCCGGATATCAATAGCCATATCCTTGGTCCATACTCCTCCACCACTGGGCCATGGCTCACCTCCTCATCCTGTAAAAGACTCACGATAACCACGTAATCTGCAAATGTAATGATATGTCTAGAGTCGTGATTACTCTGACAATCATCAGTGCACAAAACAAACAACAGAGGGTAAAGGACATACCCCCAGGAGGATACTGTGCCGGATAGGGAACTGTTGACTCTCACCCTTTGAGTTTGGTTGGTTAAAAAGTCAATCAACCAGCTGACTACTGTACTGTATGTTAAAATCAAGATCAAAATTGGACAAAGGCCTCTCTGCTAAGACGTGGTTGTATACAATAAAAATCAGAAGGGAAGTCAACAGATAGTAGTCTGGCATGGGTCTTACTTCCCTCAAGATGTTTAAGGACATAGTTAAGAAGAGTGATGGTTGTATCTTCCACCCCTCTCAATACCCACCCCTATCAACATAACAAACACCATTTTGGGGGTTTTCCGCTGCAGAATGTTTTGAAACCTTTTGATATGGTGTGCACCAATAAATACCATCCTGGTAAGGTCCAACCTCAAAAGCAACCCTATCAAATAAACAGCATGAACCATTCAAACTATAGGACAGCCAAATTGATCTTAGTTTCAACCTTTCAGATGATTCCAAAACCTCATCGCTGCCTGGTTATGGACGGAATGGATTACACCGGGTAAGATCAGACGCTTCACATATCAGATATCACAACTATTGATTCACTCCAACAATAAAATCGATCTAATCAATAATTGATTAATGTGGATGGGTTCCACTTATAGGCTTTGACTGATAAAGTGTTGTTGATCATATTGTTCATAGAAACGTGTGATCGCTGTTGTTACAATACTGTCTCTGCCCCTACAGCCTCAGTCTACAGATTTCACTCAGTACAACAGCCATGGGAACATGTGTGGGGGAGGAAGAGGTGAGTGTTGCTCAACAAATAAATATGTGGTTATATTCACAGCTACTTCTACATCTACATACAATTTCAATATTCTTAAAGCTACAATCTGGGATTAGTTTTTTTCAGCAAAATGACAGCCCTGCCACTTGTTTTGGTATACAGTTGAGGAATGGGGCTTGGGAAATGTAACCCCTCCCAGATCCCAGATTGTACCTTTAACTGATTATCTATAGTAAATAAGCCACCCAATTATTGAGCAGTCAGATTTGGAAATAATGTAGTGTTTCTTTCAGATTTAAATGATAAATTGTACAGGAAAAACATTAACTGTGAGTCTCATTTTCTGTCCCATTTTGTCTTGCAGAGTTTCAGGTATGTCTCTCATTTGCTTATCCACAAATGCCTTTCATTATGCGTTTTCATTTTGCATGTGTTTGCTCACTCTATACCCAGGATCGCAAACTTCATGTTATCCTGAATGTCAACCCACTCCTGCTAAATGCCTGCATCACTGTTGGCTATCCCAAACTGTATTGAATGCATTGCAGTGACCCTGAATGCTCCTGTCAAGGAACACATACAACACTGCTCAGACATGTTTCAGTCTCACTGTGACTAGATAGAACCACTGTACTGTACATACAATGTAGAATGATCTTTGTCTCATTGCCTGTTTTATTAGTTGTTGTTCCGAAATGTCTCCAGTTGTCACTAAATGTCTCATTTAGTTACATATTCAATTGCAAACTGTAACAGTCCTCTTGACTGTGAAACGTTGAGGTGTCACAAGTGTAGTTAACCTAAGAGCCAATTGATAGGAATTGTATCAAAAGAATGCCAATCTTTGAGAGCCATAACCTATTACCGACAGCCAAAAGTACTGCAGTGACCATAAGTACCAGTATGCCGCTCTATATGATGGGAATAAGATACAGTAGCTGGGATAGTAGTAGATAGCCATGGTAGATGTATCTCGGTTCCATACCACTATATTACATGTGTGTGTATGTTCTATCCTGTAGCACATAAGGGATGGCAGTGCTGCAGTAACAAGAATGGACAGGGGAGTATCTATGCCTAATATGTTGGAACCAAAAGCAAGTATAATTTTTTTTTAAATATAATTTATTTATAAAGATTTTGAATTTACCTGATGTATGTGCCCTATCCTTATTAATATATTTCACTGAAATTCCAATTTTTTAAATGTATACTTTACTACAAAAATGAATATGCTGTATGCTACAAAAACGAATATGCTGAGTCAGTAGAGAGTGAGCTCCAAGTGAGCTTGGCACATCGGAAACACAGCACACATTGGGTGATATAATAGAAGGAATAGTGAGGTAAACCTCATCACCTATAACAGGAGGAATATGATTGGTGGTGTGTCTCATAATATCACCACTAACTACCTACAGTATGCAGCTGGTAGTGAGTTCCTTCATGGGTTCCTGTAACCAAAGGCAGCCCCTCTAAAGTACTAAATCTCCCATGAGGCTATGGCTGTGCTGCAGTCCAGACAGGAGCTAGTGAACTGAGTCACCTCTCGCTTAGCATGTCGGCTTCTCCATGCTCATTCGCACATGGCTTCAATACAGACTGTATGTAACATACAGTGGAAAATCCAACACCAAATGTGTCTTTGAAACAACTTTATGAAGGAGAGACACCTTCATTGTTGGATTTTCATGATTGGTGTGGCTACTATGAGTTGGTCAGATAGAGAAAAAAAGCACAAGAATCACTCCTTGTTGCTTATTTAGAGCATTTCAGTAAGATCTTGCAAAACTCTCACTCTAAATTCCAATGGATCTCATCTAGGTGTGTTTATGTACTAGGCCTAACATAAGTTAGCTGTAAAGCCCACAGTATAGCTGCTTTCCAGGACTCGATATCTATGTCTTGACAATTTCATTGAAAAGAATTGTCTAACACTTACAGTTCTGTATCTATTTTGTAACTTAACACATTTTTGGGTCACAGTTAGTTCTCTGAAAATGTGGATCTGTAGACTAATATAGTCTATTTATCTAGTCAGTTGGCTGGATATCCTTTGGGTGGTGGACCATTCTTGATACACACGGGAAACTGTTGAGAGTGAAAAACCCAGCAGCGTTGCAGTTCTTGACACAAACCGGTGCGCCTGACACCTACTACCATACCCTGTTCAAAGGCACTTAAATCTTTTGTCTTGCCCATTCACCCTCTGAATGGCACACACACAATCCATGTCTCAATTGTCTCAATCCTTTTTTAACCTGTCTCCTGACATCAATAAGGGATCATAGCTTTCACCTGGATTCACCTGTTCAGTCTATGTCATGGAAAGAGCAGGTGTCCTTAATGTTTTGTACACTCGGTGTAGATGTTTTGGTAATAAGCAGAGCACTAATGCACGTACCTACACAACGATACTGGCATCATGCACCTCCCTATCAACTGATACCCTTATAGTTGAGCTCCCAGGGTCTATAGCCCCATCAGCCCTCTATTACAGCCCTCACTCACAATCTCCTGTCACACCTGTTGTCCATACCCAGTGTTGCCCTGTCTCAGACAAGACTATCAGTTTTGAACATACTATAACTGTAAAAATGATGCCCTATCGAATCAAATGTGGATACCCGATTTCTGCGGTATCTCAAAAATATGATCATGCGCTGTCTGCAGCGATGAATGTGTGGATTCATGTACTCAATAAAATAATTACAGCCTAAGTATTCTTTCCCCTTTTGGAAATACAGTGCATTCCGAAAGTATTCAGACCCCTTTACTTTTTCCACATTTTGTTACATTACAGCCTTATTCTAAAATTTACTAAATTGGTTTTTTCCCTCATCTATCTACAGACAATACCCCATAATTACAAAGCAAAAACAGTTTTTTGGAAATTGTCGCACATTTATTGAAAATAAAAAAATGAAATATCACATTTACATAAGTATTCAGATCCTTTACTCAGTACTTTGTTGAAGCACCTTTGGCAGCGATTACAGCCGCGGGTCTTCTTGGGTATGACACTACAAGCTTGGCACACCTGTATTTGGGGAGTTTCTCCCATTCTTCTCTGCAGATTCTCTCAAGCTCTGTCAGGTTGGATGGGGAGCGTCCCTGCACAGCTATTTTCAGGTCTCTCCAGAGATGTTCGATTGGGTTGAAGTCCGGGCTCTGGCTGGGCCACTCAAGGACATTCAGAGACTTGTCCTGAAGCTACTCTTGCTTTGTCTTGGCTGTGTGCTTAGCGTCGTTGTCCTGTTGAAAGGTGAATCTTCGCCCCAGTCTGAGGTCCTGAGCGCTCTGGAGCAGGTTTTCATCAAGGATCTCTCTGTACTTTGCTCCTTTCATCTTTGCCTCGATCCTGACTAGTCTCCCAGTCCCTGCCGCTGAAAATCATCCCCACAGAATAATGCTGCCACCACCATGATTCACCGTAGGGATGGTGCCAGGTTTCCTCCAGACGTGACGTTTGGCATTCAGGCCAAAGTGTCTTGGTATCATCAGACCAGAGAATCTTGTTTCTCATGGTCTGAGAGTCTTTAGGTGCCTTTTGGCAAACTCCAAGCGGGCTGTCGTGCCTTTTACTGAGGAGTGGCTTCCGTCTGGCCACTCTACAATAAAGGCCTGATTGGTGGAATGCTGCAGAGATGGTTGTCCTTCTGGAAGGTTCTCCCATCTCCACAGAGGAGCTCTGGAGCTCTGTCAGAGTGACCATCGGATTCTTGGTCACCTCCCTGACCAAGGTCCTTCTCCACCGATTGCTCAGTATGGCCAGGCAGCCAGCTCTAGGAAGAGTCTTGGTGGTTCCAAACTTCTTCCATTTGAGAATGATGAAGGCCACTGTTCTTGGGGACCTTCAATGCTGCATGTTTTGGTACCCTTCCCCAGATCTGTGCCTTGACACAATCCTGTTTAGGAGCTCTACGGACAATTCCTTCGACCTCATGGCTTGGTTTTTGCTCTGACATGCACTGTCAACTGTGGGATCTTATATAGACGGGTGTGTGCCTTTCCAAATCATGTCCAATCAATTGAATTTACCACAGGTGGACTCCAATCAAGTTGTAGAAACATCTCAAGGATGTTCAATGGAAACAGATGCACCTGAGCTCAATTTCGAGTCTCTTAGCAAAGGGTCTGAATTCTTATGTAAATAAGGTATTTGTTTTTAATTTTTAATGTGCAAACATTTAAAAAAAAAAAAAGTTTTTTCGCTTTGTCATTATGGGGTATTGTGTGTAGATTGATGAAAAAACATGTTTTAATAAATTTTTGAATAAGGCTGTAACGTAACAAAATGTAGAAAAAGTCAAGGGGTCTGAATACTTTCCGAATGCACTGTATCTCAAAAATCTAGTATCCAGGTTTGATTGAATTGGGTCCTCAGTCAGTTTTGATGGCCCCTTGGTCTATCTTTCAACAGTCTCCTTTTGAAGCTTAATTCAATATTGACTTCATTTACTGACTAGTGTCTCCCTTTGAAGGTCGTACCATATGAAATGCTCATGATAACCAGTAGAGGGCGAGCTAAACTTCCCAGGGAGGTGGACAGAACAAGACTGGAGGTATCATTTGATTTCTGCATGTGTGTGCATGAATGCTACACAAATACTTAGTGAGGAAAGTACAGAATCCATAGATCCATATAGCTTCTTGAGAGTTTTTCAATGACCTTATAGGAGCGTAAATGCTAACCACAACATCCCCCCTTCCCCTCCTCCCCCTCCTTCTTTTCTCAACCTCTCTTCTCACTCTAGCGCCACTTAGCCCCAGAAACGTTCTTTGACATCTTTGGGATGGAGATCCAGGAGTTTGACAGGCTTCCACTGTGGAAACGCAACAACATGAAAAAGAAGGCCAAGCTCTTCTAGCATTCAGAGCAGCATGCACTCATCCCATCCTTTCAGATAGCACTACCACTGTAATATAGATGTAGGATTTGTTTCGATTTTTCCCTACCTTTTTTCTGACATGTTCAAGAAGGCAATGCAATGGACTCTTTTTTCGCTATGCCTCCTCTACGGACTGAATACATGATTTAATAACTAATAGATACATTTGAAAGCTACAAGGAAAGAAAATAAAACAATTTCTTCCATGTTCAAAAATAACAAAGAATGAGAAAGAATTATGAATCAAGTCATGTTCTTTTTGACTGCTGCGGTTTTAATTTCTTGCTTTGCTTTGAATGGAACTGCTTTCCTTGACCTGCTTGTTTCCTCATATTTGTTGCTGTTGATTCCTTTGGAGCTTTGTTAGTAGAATCTCATGGCACCATATGAAACATGCTGTTCACATGCAAAACTGGAATGTCTGTCTGTCAGCTTCACATGTCAATGGTCAGCTTACCCTCATTTGGCTGTCAAATCAAGTCAAATCAAATGGCTCACAGAGTCTTCATCATGGTAAATATTGGGTCTTGCCATTCCTTTATGGCTCTTGTACATACCAGCTAGCCTATGTTACTCTCACTGGCATCAGAGTCTGGAAAAGCTATTATTCAAAACAATATAATGTGGTTTACATATAGATCCGGGTCATATTCATTAGGGCATGAAACGGAAAACATTTTAAACCGTTTTACAACAGAAAACGGAAATGAGCCTTCCAAGTGGCCTCCCTGTTTCAGTGTGTTTTCATCTGTTTGATGCCTAATGAATACAACCTACAGTTTCGCCTCTCAGGCTCCCATTGGAGTAGCAATTCTTATTTTACTAACAAATATTCAACACAAAAAGACACAACATTTAATGTAAAAAAAAAAAGACTGTTTTATAAATGAAACCCACACTGCCATTTGTTGTATTGAAATATAAGCAAAAAATAAAGCTTTAAATCACTGTCTATGATAATCCTCGGCTACTCCAAAGGTATCGCCTGTATTAGTTTACCTGTTCTCCTCTAAGCTATTAAACTATAATAAACACTGTGGTTCATGTATGTTGTTCAAGGAACTACAGTGTGTGTGATGTAATATGAGGAATCTCCTGTCAAGTTTTATGGGACCAATCAGACAGTGTATTCCGTTGACCTCCTGGACTTCAGCCAATAAAGAGGCAGACACCCATGGCACTGTCTCTTTCTCTCTCAAACACGCACATACAGATACACAAACACCCAGGATTATAGTAGGCCTATAGTTTTAAAGTATTGTATGAATCAAAGTATGAATGGAGGAAATACGGTATTGCTAAATATTATCTATGTATCAAATTGGATCACTTCTGTTCGCTTATTGTTAGAATTAACTGAATTCCAACTAGTTATTGGGACAGACATGAATGCCATTCTGGATATGCGGGACAGATCTAATAAGACCAACTACAATCCAAAGGCAACCAAGGCTCTCCAACAGATGTTCTCTGATTACAACATTTTGACATATGAGCCTCTCTGATCATCATGCTTTTAACTGCCAGATACAAATTCCTGAATTTCCTAAAAGAGCCACAAGATGGCGCCTTAATGTTTCCTTACTACAAAATCCTACTTTCTGTGTACAATTTGAAACGGAATTGAATTCATTTATAATGATTAACAAAAATTCAATCGATGATCCTATGATTTTATGGGACGCCATTAAAGGTTTTATTTAAAACAATGCAACTGCATTTGCATCTGGGCTGAATAAATCACAATTAAAGAAGATATCAGAATTGGAAAAGTTGTTAACAACTTGAGCATTCTCAACAAACACTTTTTTCAGACGAGGTAGTGACTACTCTCTTCAAAGTCAGAAGAGACCTAAAATACAGAACTAAATCAATTGACAAGACAGAGAGGAGAATTTGCCATCCATCGAGTTAGACTTAACCATTACTTCCATGGTAATTGACCCAGTCGTCTACTGGATAACAAGCTTTGCAGTAATGATCAATTAGTGAATATTGCAACTATCAGAACCCAAATTAATCAACCAAAAATGATCCCGTTTCTATAAAGAACTGTACACCTCTGATTGTAAATTCACACCAAGCCAGATCGAGTCCTTTTTAAAAGATATCTCCTCTTCTCTCAACTGAGGAAGCCGGCTTGCTGGGAGCCCAAATCCCTCTACATGAACTCAAAGGGGCATTGGATAACATGAATAAAGGTAAATCACCTGGTTCCTCCTGAGGTCTATTTAAAACGGTGGAACCAATTACGCCCACTGTTACTTGCAATGATTAACACAGCCGTTCACAAAGGTTCATTTGGAAGGGATGTAAATGCAGGACTAATTTTACTTTTCATTTTTTTTAAGGTAAGGACACCACCCAGTGCTCTCATTATCACCCTCTTTCTTTGATAAACACAGATATTCAACTATTTTCTAAAATTCTGTCGTCCCGTCTTGAAACGCACTTAGCCAAATTGGTACATCTGGACCAAAGCGGGTTTGTAAAAAAACGATTATCCTCAGATAACCTCTGTTGTCTATTACATATTTTACATGCTTCAAAAGAAACCAAAGCTCCTTGGGCAGTTCTATCTCTCGACGCAGAAAAAGCTTTTGATAGACTAGAATGGTCATATCTTTGGTCGGTTTTGCGACATATGGGACTTGGCTCCAATTTCATTAATATGATTAAAATACTACAGTATATGCCAATCCCTCAGCCATAGTAATAACAGGCAATACCGGCTCTGTTCTGTTCAGAATAACTAGAAGTAACAGGCAAGGTGATCCCATCTCACCTCTGCAATTCGACAATTGAAAAAATATACACTAATATCTCTCAATTATATGGATCACGTCATCTCATTATACGCTGACGATATCTTACTTTATCTAGACAATGCATCTCAATCTCTCCCAAAAACTTTAAAGATCATAGACAAATTCAGCTCCATCTCAAGTTGTAAAATAAATCTAACCAAATCTGCCCTACTGCCTCTCAAGACCCCGATGGAGGACTCCATCTCCACTTATGGAATCCCAATCATTTCCCATATAAAATATTTGAGAATAGATGTTTTTCCTTCCTTAGACAAAACAATTAAATCTGACCTCAGAAGATGGACTAATATCAAAGCTGCTTTAACCGGCAGAATATCTCTTGTCAAAATGAATACATTGCCAAGGCTGAATTTCTGTAGTTCAATGCTTCCCTTGTCTCTCCCGTCTGTCTATTGGGATAAAATCCATAGTGCGTTTCAAAATGTTTATAGCAAGGTAAGCGAGCCCAGATCAAATGAAAGTTTGGTATGGATAGTCCTCCTTCGTCTTTCCCTCTTTGCAAGTTTGCTAATTTTATCCAGGCTCACTTACCTTGTATTTCCTGGCACTAGCAATTCGTCCCATCCTAAATTGGTTTAGATATGATTATTCTGCCCCCTGGCTGTGTATAGAGAGAAATATGGTGTCTCCTACTGCCCTGGGAGAGGTGGTCTTCACTGAAATATCACTTAAACAATGTAAATTATGCTTAGGTCCTATTATTGCACACACACAATTTCTTTTTGGCACAACATTGAAAAACAATGTAACTGGGAATCAAAATGGCATGCCCATACTCCAATATTTCACAATAATGCCTTGCAATCTGGAAGGCGGCCTTTTGCATTCCCCCAATGGTCCAAATGTAGAATCCGTACCCTTGCTGATTTCATGGACAGTAATGGTTTGAGAACATTCCAAGATTTGAAAGACAAATACACATTACCAGGCAAATCCTTTTATGTATATTTACAACTTACAGTAGGTCAGCTATGCTGGCCTATGGAGTCCCTTGGGGAAACCCATCTACCGAACCATCCAATGATGGGATTTATAAATACATTATCTGGGCTCCCGAAAGGACTGATCTCTATAATATATTTAAAAAATTGAAAAGCTCATATTCTGAGCTAGCCAATAAAAACGATAGTTACCGGAGTGTAACTCCAGTTCTATGAGTGGAGCGGAGCCCCATAGGGGAGATCTGCCCCTATTGGTTTAGGAGCCAATAGGAGTACAGGTGTCCCTATAAGAGGGGATGCCTCCCCTCAATCAGCCTCCCGAGATATTTATCTTCAGCGAGACTAGAGAGGGTCGGCAGGGCCTTAAGTCCTATGGGGCTCCGCTCCACTCATAGAACTGGAGTTACACTCCGGTAACTATCGTTCTATATCGTGGAGCTCCGCCCCATAGGGGGGGGAGCTCTGCTCCTATTGGTTTAAGGCGGAGCGCAACGCTCCAAAATGTACTCCCTGCCGAGCCCAACACTTCCCATCGAAATTAAAAGGTCAGGCTGCAATGGCTGCAACCAAGTCCCGCAGTACTGCAACCACTGTATGACAATACAAGTGTCACAATATACTGCGTCATCGGTTAAAAACCCGCCCCACCTAGTCCAATGGCAACACCAATGACTAGTGGGCAGATCACCAGAATACGGGCCATACTAATCTGTACTAGCAGATAGATGGTACCTCAATATCCTGTCACAATAATACCGACCACTAATGGAATGACACAAAGTGTCACTCTACATTGTGTACACGGTAGCCCGCCCCACTCAATCAATGGAATCCCAGAGATTAGTGGGCAGATCCCAGAACATGATTCATGCTAATCTGAACAAGCAGATGGATGACGTCACATTCCGTCAAAATTGTCATGACCGGTCTAATAGTACCGTAACCAAGGTTACTACTATTATCCCTCATCATTCCGCCTCAACCCAGTTATTCACTGGTGGGCAGATTAATACATGCCTTCTACTGTACTGAACATGTCAGTCAGGAGTAATGCCGAAATATGTCCTTCTGTCAGAAGCGGACCTGAAAGAGACCTGTCTCCTCAGTCCTGCATTCCTCTCTCCTAACTCAAGTCCTCCCCTCAGTCATGCTGAGTACAGACTGAGCCAAAGAGTTAGAAGACATATCCAAGAGATAGAAACTGATAAAT